CACTCTACATAGTCGCATCCCATGATTGCTTGATGTAACTCTTCTCCTTCACAAGCATCCATGAGCAGTTGGTACTTGTACTTCTCTGGCACGGCCGCATTTGTCATGTATCGACGGAAGGCATGCATAAAGGTCCAAAACTCAGCCCGACCTTGTCCTTTAAACTTGGGAAGGGTGGCTTATGGCATGCGCATCGTAGCCACTAACTCTCTTATTTCTTCACCCTTCCCTGAATCTCCCTGTGGATGCGTAATTGTGACTTGAGGCGCTTTGTTTGCAGGCATTGGCGGTAAAGACGATGCCATTTTCTCGACATTGACCGATGCCTGTTGCTGGGTTTCTTCCCGTACTATTGGCTTCTCATAATTGCTGGAGTTCTATGTCGAAGGCTGTGAGCTGTCACTTCTTCGTGTTAGTGCTGTCTCTTGACCCGCCACCATTCCAGTGTGCATCGTTTTCATCCACCCTGCCTTAAGCTCTCGCAGGGCTCGGTTTACTTCATCCGACGCTGCCTCAACTCTGGCCACTGCTTGTTGATAATCCAATTCCCTACTGTGACCTTCCCATGGATCTCCTGGTATTGCAAGCTCATTTCCTGTTTCACCACTCACTGATTGTACCTCGGCGGGCGGATCCATTGTCATGAGGTCAAAATGTTTGCTTCCATCTAGGTCCGACTCTCCTTCCATGTCATCAGTATACCCAATCTCCGACATCTTGTTTATTCAGGTAATTTGAATTGCGTTCATTTCCACCACTCTTAAATCAGGGCACGTTCGTGTGCCTTGACTTGTACTCATTTATCAGGGCACGCTCATGTGACTCGTCTTACACTCGCACCTGATATCATTACAAATTTTACATTGATATTTGGGTTATTTACAAAGCAATATCACTTCAGTCAACTATGACTGCTAATTGTGTTCTGCACTTACGTCAGACAACAATAATGACATGTGTTTTCATTCTCATATGCACTACACTGGGAGTGATGAAGATCACTCAGACAAAACTATTTTCTGGACTAACAAGGTTTAACTATTAGCGATGCGAGAAGTATACGGACGTTGCACTGCACTTCTCGCCACTGGATACACACACATACACACCCACACTCGTCCCTCGAGTGAAGAGTGTTGGTGAGCCAAGCTACACTAAGAGTGGCTGAGCTCACTCTGACAACATGATTTTCTTCAATAACAAAAGGTTCAAATATTATCGCCGCTATAAATCTATGGGAGTTGCACTGTAATCTGTGGCACTGGGAACACTCGCGCACGCACACACTCACGCGCATCCCTCCAGTGGGTTGAGTTGAGTTGACCTTGGTTACTCTGCTGCCCGCGCGTTGATTCAAGCTAGCACTGCTACAC